GCCTGGTGACCTTTCCTCACCTGGGGTCTCTGCCTGCAGACCCTAGTGTGGCCCTACAGACTGTGGACACACGAGGAATCCAAGTTGTTCAGGTAGGAAACAGGTGTCAGTGGGAGGATTGTGGCTGTGCTATCCTGGGTGAAGGGCTATATGTGACACCAGGTGCAGGTGGCAATGAGGACACAGCCTCCCTGCCACAGAGAAACGGCTGGGCTCAGCACTGCTACAAGAAGGGAAGAGCTGAACTCCATTCCGAATACAGCCAGGTTGGTGGCGAAGGACAGTGGCAGAGCAGGGGCTTTGGAGGGACAATGACTAAGTGGGGACTTTCAAGGGCCAGGGCTCTTGTTGAGCTAATCTATCAGGGCTCTCTCTAAAGCAGGAAAGGGGAGGGCAAGGGCTGGGGTGAATAGCAGAACCCCTTCTGAGACCATATCCATAGGTCAAAGGGCCACAGAATGAGACCAATGGCCTGGAGGGGGGCTTGGGAGTCTGTCCAATGCTGGGTCAAGGAGAGCCTTTGTCTGGCTTCAGCCTAATGGGGGCTCTGAGTTTGGGGGAACAGCAGTGTTGTCATGAAGAGCTCCAGGAGAGGGTGTCCCTTGCCCGGGCATGGTCTGCTCTCAGGGGCCTGGCACCTGCATCCTCGAGGTTGGTAGGCTCCCTTCACCCTGGGGCCTGTGGCAGGAGATGCCTGGTCCCTGCTCCCGGTTCCCTGTGTCCCCAAGAACCAGCTGTGGGTGACACTCATTGAGCTGACACTCACTGAGGCCAGTGCACGACCCCTGGGTGATGACCCAGGCTGAGGCTTCCCTGCACTCAGCCACACAGGCAATTCATGCTTGGTTTGCTGTGGTGCCTGCAATCTGTATTTTTATTAAGTAGAAGGTAAATCTCCTATAATTTTTATTTGCTTTGATGTTTTCAGTGCTGGGGATGGAAACTGGGCCTTGTACATGGTAGACAAGTGCTCTACCACTAAGCTGCACCTCAGCCTTTATTATCCTCATTGCAGGGGCCCTGGGATTTAACCCAGGCATCGCTGAGCTATGCTCAGCCTCAGTTTAAGCGTGGCATGCAGTGCATGTCGGCTCAGTCCCGACCTGGGGCAGCAGACTCCAGGGATGGGGCTGAGCCATCTGTACTTTAACATCCAATGCAGGCTCAAGTTTGAGAGCTGCTGATTTAGGGTGAAATTTTGATCTCTGTTTTAAATAAATTCACTTGAAGTAGTCGTGGTGCTCAGTCAGCAAAGCCCTCCTGGGTTTCCTTTCTGGGGTTTCCTTTTCGCTGCCACCTTGGGGGAAACCTGCCCACCACTCCCACCTCCCTCAGCAGGCTTCCTATTGCCTGGGTACAGGGGTGGCTCAAAGCTGGGGCTCCTCTCCATTGGGTGGAGTCACCTGAGGAGCATCCAGAACTCCTGGGGCCAGAAGGTCAGGGCCACATGTGAAGGTTTTCAAAGCTCCCGTGTGGGTCCGAACACAGGCGGGGTAGGCATCCCTGGTCCCAGTCAGGAGCCCTCGGGAGGTGACTTTGGCTGCCCTTGGCCCATTGGTGGAAAATCCTAATAAAATGAATTAGAAATTTGAGCAGCTTGACTCAGAGACAAATGGTGTGCACCAGGGCACAGGCAGATGGCGTCTGGGGACTCAGAATGCAGAGCAACTGTCACCCACGCTCCTGCAGTTTGGGCTGGTTCATGGTGACAGCCTCCCCACTGGGGCAGAACCCAGGAGGTCTGCATCCCCCAGAGGAGCCCGTGTGGCCTGGCCCTGCTGCTTTCTCGATCCAGCACACTCTACCTCCCGGGACAGTTGGGTTTAAGGTGGCAGTGTCTCTCCTCAGGCTTCTCACATTACAGCTCAGCTAGCTCCTGCCAGAGACCTAGAAAGATCAAATACTTCTTTTATAAAAGGACAAAGACACCTTTTCTCTGAAATATTTTTGAAAGACCTAAACTGTGTCACAGAATCATCTCCCCTTCCATGACTTAGACTATAATCGCTCACACTAGAAAGAGTTGTCTCCAAAGTGACAATCACGTGATAAGGGATGAAATCGGATCAAAATGATGACAAGGAACGGCTGGACTCTGACCCTTCCTCATTCCCATGGCCTCAGCCTCCCGCCCCTGCCGGGGTGTTGACCTCCAGCCCTGTTTCAGAGCTTATTCTGACCTTGAATGGAAGGGAGAGAGTGGCCAGGAGCTGCTCCCGCTTTGTTTACGAAATTCAACGTGTCTTGAATATAATGAGTCAGGGAAGACAAATGGGAATAAGGCTTGGAAATGAAATTTCCTGCCTATGCTTTGACCCAGGCCTGTCTGTCTAATTCTACCCCAGGGGCATGCATTCCTCTGTGGCTGGGCTGGTGTCTGCACAGCCCCAGGCTCCCTGGAAGGAGAAATTATCCACAGCAGACAGGAAACTGGTAGGGACCAAGGGCACCACTGACTCCCAAACTTGTGGCCACCAGGGTGGCCCAATCCAGTCAGGAATTCATCACTAAGCAGCACTCCCATGTGGCTGGCCTCCTTCCTCTTCCCCAGAGGCATCTTTCCTAAGGAACTTGGGGTCTGCATTGTCTTCAGGGTCTTTCTTGGCTAAAGCTAGAGGAGACTAATTCAGGGCAGCCACCAGTCCCATCTGCCCAGGGCTGAGGTGGTCTCAGGACTTGGGATTTTCAGTTGTAACCTGAGAAGTCCCAGGCAAACCAGGACTGTTTGGTCACCCAGAAGTTGCTGCCAGCTGTGGGCCAAGTAGGAGCTGTGTGTGACCTGCAGGAGGGGAGTCCAGGCTGGCTGCTTTCTGTGGACTGGTGGGGAAGCAGACAAATTCCTTCTGGTGCTCAGAGAGGGCTAGGGGCTTTCCCAACACCTCCCGACTGGTAACTGGAGGAGTCAGGTTTGGGACCTGAGTTTTCAACATCCCAAATGATGTGGTTTTTCCCTCAAGGGGTCACTCAAAGTCTTATTGAATGAAGGTCCTCAGACCGCAGAGCCTCCTACAGTCTGAGCTCCTGGGACCAGCTCACCTGGGAGCCTCCTGGGAACCGAGTCTCAGGCCCCACTGGAAAGCTTGGCTGATCCCAGGACATTTATAAGCACAGCTAGACCTTGGGGATCCTGCTCCCCAGTCTTTGAGGAAGGTAGAGAGAGGGCAGGAGGTACTGGAGTCATTCCTGAGAGTTTAAAAAGCCACAAGAAGGTGGTACATACTTCTTCCCAGGCTGTAAGGACAATAGCAAGATTCTAGCTGCAGTTACATGCGTCTTTGAATAAAACTGGGAAAACTAATTATTTACGATATGAAAGACATCTTTTCTTTTTAGACAAGGTTTAGCTATGTAGTTGAGGCTGACCTCGAACTCACAGCGATCCTCCTGCGTCAGCTTTCTGAGTTCTGGGATTACAGGTGTGCATCACCACACCTGGCTACATGAAAGACGTCTTTAAAAACAATGCATTTTAAAAGCCACGGGTATATAGCGTATGATTCCATTTACACGAAACAGGTAAAACCAGAGTCAGAAATCGGATCTGTGGCTGCCAGGCCTGGGGGAGGGCGTGGAGAGGACCGGTGGGTGGGTTTGCATTGTGGGGATGAAGGTGGTGGCACTAGACAGGGTTGATAGAGCGCATCGTGTGTGTACAGATGCTCCTGGTAGGTACACTTTAAAAGGGCCCCCTTGGGGCATTTCATGTCACGGGAATTACATCTCAGTTCCCTCATTGAAGCGGAGAGTGCTGGGTAGTGAGAGCTGGAGGGACCTCACTTCTCCCATACATCACAGAGGGCGCTGGCTCCTGACCCAGCTGGGGCAAATCTGCATGTGGCTCAGAGTGTGATTTGTTTTGAAAGGAGACTTTCTCCTTGAACAAGGAACCACCAAGGCCAGTGTCAACACTTCTATATGACATGGTGCAAGAGATGCTATCAGCAACTCAGACAAGAACAAGAACTCACCGGCATCCAGTGGCTGTCATTGAGAGACCAATAACAGGAGCATTGATGAGGGTGTGAAGAAGTGCGAACTGTCACACACCCCTGGTGGGACGGAAAGTGGTTATCCACTCCTCAAAATGATAACCACAGTGCTACTATCCCACAATCCTGCCGTCAGGTGGAGTCATACGCAAATGTGCACAGCAGCATTGTGTGCAATCACCGGAAGTGAGGGGAACCCATGGCCACCAGTGGATGAACGGGGAAAGAAAATGAGCTCTGTGTGCCAGTGGATATTGCTCAACCCGAGGAGGAAGCTGATACACCATGCAGCACAGATGAGCGGAAAACATGGTGGGAAGTCATCACAAAACACCACATCCGGTGTGATTCCAGCTATTCTGAAATATCCAGTCAGAGGCAGCTGTAAAGATCAGCAGTGACGCTGAGCTAGGGAGGTGCGGGAAGTGGGAGGAAGGACTTGGTGATACCAGCATTTCTTTGAGAGGTATGAAGATGTTTTAAACATGGTGTGGAGATGGGTGCCTGGCTCTGTGAATATGCTAAAAATCACTGGATTGTGTACTCTAATTGGGTTATTTATACAATATGCAAGTTGAATCTCAATAATGCTGGTTTTTAAAAAGCAGGTATTCATATTGGAAAGAAAGAAAGCAAACTGCCTCTGCTTGCAAATGACCTGATTATGTACCTAGAGAATGTTTAGGAGTCTGCCAAAAAGCTACAAAAACTATTAGCCAATTTAGCAGCTGTTCCAGATACAAGACCAACATACAAAATGTACAAGAAATACAACCATTATGCAATTTCTATTTCTGCGTGCTAAAAATAAACACTGGGAATATGAACTTTTAAAAATTCTATGTACACTTACACTTTAAAAACATAAGGCAATCATGGCCATAAATACTGCAATAGAATTTGCAAACCCCTGTGCCGGCCCCTCAGTCTGGACACTTCCGATGTTGTCACAGGGCTATCCCGGGCGGGCACCGTAGGATTTCCGGCAGCGTGCCTGGGGCCCACTCGCCAGATCCCAATAGAATGCCCGGTGTGCCCGTGTCCAAAGACTCCGCATTGCTCAGAGGTCAGATCTCCCGAATCAATGAGCAGAATCCATGCAGCCAGAGCCCTGCTCCCAGCAGACATTGCTGCAGAAGTTGCTGACCGCCAGTCGGACCGGTGAATCGCACCCCTACTCGTGGTAAGACGCTGACGTGTTCAGAGCTGACGCCAGGCAGCCGGGTCGTGAGGTCGTGAGCCTCCGCAGTAACCCTGCCAGGAACTCTCTCAGCATCCGTTCTCCGAGGCAGGAAGAGGTGCAGTGAGACAGCCAAGGTCACCCAGGCACTGACTCCTCCCACCAGAGCCTCTGATGGCGTCCGTCTCCCCAGGACCCTGGTGTCTCGCTGGTGCTTGGGCTCTGGGCACAGTCCTTGGCTGCCCCACCTGCACCCACTCTCTTAGGGTCCCGGGCTGCACCCCAACTCAGGCCATCGCCTCTGGGATGAGAGACCCACTCTGTGGAGTCTAGCGTCTGCATCACCCACCCAGGCCTGATTCTGAACCCCCTGAAACAGAAGAATGCCCCAACCAAAGCATCCCAGCCTCTCAAGACCTCTGACCCTTCTGGATGTTGGACATCAACCTTGTCCTCATCCTGCCCCAGTAAGGGCCCTAGGCAGGAAGGATGAGAAAGGGAACGCCCCCTTCTGCTTACTCTGTCTTTGAAAACAACTAAAAGCAGAACTCTATTTAAAGAGCAAATGGTAATGTCAAGTTTCAATTAAAAAGGACACTTTCATATAGAGAGATGGAGAGACAAACAGCAGCTACCCCCAGCCCTGGCTCCCTTCTCTGACTGGACCCGGGGTCTTTTGGGGTGGGGGAGAGCGGGAGGGGCAGGCAGGCCACCACCCACCAAGACTCATGGGTGGTGAGCTCTGCCCCCCACCCCCGACTGTGGGCCCTGAGGGAGACTCCACTCCCCTTCCTTTAACCCACAGGAGGGTCCTTCTGTTGACCAGGCCACATGGCCCAAGTCCTTCTTGCCACCACCCCAAGCCTTTGCCCAGGCTGTGGGTCACTGGTCCCCAGGGCCACACTCCCTGCAACTCCCACTTCCCCCATTTCCAAAGACATGGTCTGGGCACTGTGGGGACAGAGCTGGCTGTGTCTGTGTGACTCGCAGGCCTTCTGGTCACATCTACTCTCAAACAAATGGCTTCCTGAGAACTGCCTGCCCCTGGCTTTTGTAAACTGAATCCTCTGAGCTTCTGGAGCTGCAGAAGCCCTGAACACAGGCTCTTGCTGGTTCTTACTGTGACATCATCCCAATGCTTCCCTCAGGCCCACAGCTTTACCTCAGGAGTCATAAAGGCAAAGGCCCAGAGTGAGTATTTTAGATTTTGCACCTAGATGGTCTCCATGGAAACCATTCAATTTGGCCATCATGATCTAAAGCAACTGTAGATAATCCATGGTCACGGCTGTGTTTCAATAAAACTTTATTATAAAAGTAGGCAGAAGGCCAAATTTTTGGGTCCACTTTAGTCAAGCAATGATGGAGAGAGGTGAATTCCTGTTTCTAAACTATTCCTCCCTTTGCCTTCTCAGAAATACTTTATTTGCAATGAGCCCTACCCAAATTTGTCCTTCCTCCTTCCCAGCTCTGTTCCACCAAACTGCAAATTTGTCACGGGCGCCCCTTCTCAGCCCTCCGCCTTTCCTCCCAGCCACCCCTCACCCTCCACCTCACCCTCCCTTCCTGAGGCACTCTTTACCAGGGGCCTGTGTGGAGCCTGGCCCCACGCCCAGCTGGGGGAGCAGTCAGGGCACAGGAAACATCAGGAGAACCCCAACCCGGGGCCCCATCTTGCTCAGGATTCCTTGCCTCCTCCACAGCCCTCAACAAGACACCTGCCTGTTACCCAGGGGCTCGCTGGGTGCTTTACAGAATGACTGGTTGCACCCCACAAATCCTAGAGGTTATAAACCTCCCATTTTGCTTGTTGTCAGGACTTTTGGATAGCAGGAAAGGTATCCCACCTCCTCCCCATGGGGAAGCTGCCTCAGCCAGCTGGTCCGCTTTCTCCCGAGGCACAAACCACAAAGCTCTGGAAAGCTGAGTCCTCCAGTCCCTGTTCAGTGTTTCTGCATCCTGTCTCTGGTGAGTGGAAGACCAGGGTGGGCTGGGGGCACCCCAGGGAGCCTTCTCGCCCCTCCCTTTGCTGGCAGACCCTCCTTCTCAATGAGCAAGGCCTGAGCTGGTGCACCGACACGTGTGGGTATTTGTGTGTGAACTGTTTTTATGTCCTGCAGTACTCATATGTACTTTATGAAACATACAGAGAGAAAATTCAAAAGGATGACAAAATGGGCGGGGGATTTAGCTCAGTGGTTCCGCCCTCTGCCTCACAAGTGCAGGTCCCGAGTTTGATCCCCAGTACCCCCCAAAAATAAATAAATAAAAAATAGGATGACAAGATGAAATAAACCAGATTTAATATTTTTAAGTCTAATTTGTTAGTAGGACAAGAGACTTTGTCATTAAATGTGCTTTTAAGAGTGATCAAACATCTCCTGATTTGAAAGTCCAAGTTGCTTTTAGACATTTTTTAAAATTTAGGTTTTTTGAGGTCTAGCTTGCATGAAGGAGCATCCACACAGCCTGATGAGTCTGACAAACGGACAGTCACTGTGCGCCCTGTGTGTGATGTGACGGTCCTCAGTTGAGGTTGGGGTATTGCTACCACCCCAGATTCTCTCTCCCCTCTCATTACCCACATCCCCTGCAGCCATGATCTGCTTCCTGTCCCTACAAGTTACCTTTTCCAGAATATCAGATAAATGGGAACATACAGTGTGTGGCCTCTTGTATCTGGCTTCTTTCACTTAGTTAACACCGTTGAGGTTCATCCGTGTTTTTGTGTCCATCAGTAGTTCATCCCTTTTTATTTCTGAGTAGCACTGTATATGTATCATCATTTGCATATCTAATTGTCAAGATATTGGATATTATTGGATATTGGGGCCATTTTAACTTTTAGCTTTTTTCCCTTTCTCTTTCTCCCTCTTTCTCTTCCTTTCTTCCTTCCTTCCCTTCCTTCCCTCCCTCCTCTTTCTTTCTTTCTTTCTTTCTTTCTTTCTTTCTTTCACTGGGCCTGGGGCTGGGGCTGGAAGCCAGGACCTTGCCTATGCCAGGCAAGTGCTCAGCACTGAGCTACATTCCCAGCCACTTTGACTATTGTGAATAAAGCTTCTACTAACTTTTTTTTTTTTGCTTCTATCAACATTTGCATACAGATCTTGTGGACATTTTTTCATTTCTCTTGGATAAATCCCTAGGATTGGAATTACTGGATCATAGAGTCAGTGTCCATTTCACTTTTTGAGAAACTGGTGAGCTGTTTCCAAAGTGCTGTTTCTCTCATTCATCCTCACTGGCAGTCAGTGGGGTTAGCCTTTTTAAAGTCTAGTCATCCCAGGGCATGTGCGTGGGGTTTTCTTGAGATTTGACGAGCCCATGTGCCCATTGTGGTCATCGGCCTGTGTCTAATTTAAATAATCCAAAAGAAATGATTGTGCCCGGTACCTTTTAGGCACAGTGCTGGTTGCAGGCTGAGATGGAGGGAAGCAGGACTGACCATCACCACCTGGGGAGAGTGGGCCTTTCCAGAAAGTTCCTACTGACCCCTGGACCCTGCACATGGGAGAGCAAGTGCCTAACACATGACATACCTGACATACTGGACAGGTTAGCACATACCTGATGCCACACCAACAATACTGGAGTATTTTCTAAAGAATGGCAAGCCTTGTAACAGGCATATGCACTTTGTACAGTAATTTTCCACCTGTGGCAGTTATTAACATAATAACAGTGTAAATTTTAGAATAAACCGCTAAGAAAAGTGGTGTAGCTACTAAAACATTCAGGGAGGGGCTGGGGATTTAGCTCAGTGGTTCCATCGCCTGCCCTGCAAGCACAAGGACCCGAGTTCAATCCCCAGTACCAAAAAAAACATTCAGGGAGATAAAATGAGACCCTAAAAAATACACAACTGGAAAGAAAGCAGAAGAGAGGAGAGGGCTAGAAACAGATGGGGCGCGAACCATGGGCGGATTAGATCCACCCCTTCAAAGGCTGTTACGTGCCTCCCTCCTGGTATGGAGGTCAAGAGCTGAGAGGGAAGGGGTCGGGCTGAGGTGAAACAGAGAGACTGGAAGGGCAGGAGCATGAGGAGAAGCTTCCCGTGGATGAGAGAGAGGCTAAAGTTATGATTTAGACCTTTGGATCTTTTAATACCCAAAACATGAGAAAGTACCACACACGGCTACAGAACCTGACCCAGATGACTCAGCTGGCTAACGAGGGAGCCTGCAGGGAAATGTTTAAATTTTTAAAATATCTACTAGAGTAAAAGGCACATTCCTGTTAATCCCCCTCAAAATACTCCTCACTTCGAACACACTTATCCCATTGTTCTTGCCACCTGCGGAAGCAGGCCTGGAAGCCCTCTTTCGGGAATATCTTTAGTTGAAGGGTCTTGGCTGCCTCAATGTCCTGAATTGATTCAAAGCATCTACCTTTTATGGCCAATTTGACTTTAAGGAAGAGCCAGTAGTCACACACAGTGCTGGCTCGGGTGAATTAGGTGGACGAGGACACATCATCATATTTCTACTCGACAGGAATTGCTGGAAACATTTTGAATCAGGACACTGAGGCAGCCATGAAGAGACACGCACAACAGAGGGCTTCCAGAACTGCTGCAGGTGGTGGCAAGAATGATGGGATCAGTGTGTTTAAAGTCAGGAGGAATACTTTGAGGGGATTAATGACAATGTGTCTTTTATTGTAGTAAAAATGTTTTAAATTTAAACATTCACTGCATTTTTTTAATCACACCTGATAGGTCAGGGAGACATTGCTGCTGTGACCTGCCTCAGTGCTGAAGTTGCCCAGGGACCCACCTTTTCTGGATTTTTGTGGACTCAGACCTTTATCATCAGAAGGATTCCCTGGATTTGCAGGGCAGAGGACGTGCAGGGTGTTAAAGACAGGCTCCTCAGTGATCTCTCTCCATCACTGTCTCCTCCACACACTCGCTGGCTAGGGTGGGTGCTGTGTGTGAGGTCCTGGGCTGGGGACTGTAGTAACTTGTTTCTAAAACGCTAAGTGTGTTTACAAAGGCAGAAATCGCCTGGCGAGGGTGGAGAGGGGCCAGGAACCCTGTCATTCCCTTGATGGAAGAAGGTCTAGAGGCAATGCTTTCCCCCTTGGGTGACATCAAAGCATGTCCCCAAGGGGCCAGCAGTGTGTGGCTTGGCTCCCTGCCCCATGCCTGAGCTGCTCACAGAGATTCCATAGGCACAGCTGCTTCCCGGACAAAGGGATGATGTCCCACTGGGGACAGGGTGCTGGGGACTGTAGGCCTCGGGCCTGGTGGAGGAGCCATGCCAGCTTCTCCGGGACATACCCCATGTGGGTGTTGCTAGATCTTGAATCCCAGCACAGTTTTTGGAATGCAAAATATTTGTACAACAAATTAATTGTTAATTAACAAAATGATAAGCAGAAATCCACTTAAAATGTGTGGGGCTGCCTCACTAACCCCGGAACACTAGACCTTGAGGAGCACTTGGAGCTGGGAAGTGGGAGGGGCTTCACCTCCAAGGGGATTTAAGGGCTCCCCAAAACTCACTGAGCAAGATTAACTCTCATCCTTTAATGTAATACTTGAAGAAAATCAAAGTTAATGTGAAGAATTCATGACAACAAAATATCCAACTTGGACGTAAAGATGGAATTAGCAATGGCACCATCCATCCTGGGCCCTACTGAATCAGGGCGAAAAAAACCAAACCAACCCTAAAATCAGTAATTCTGACGCTCCCTCCACCCCAAGTTTTCACTCAAGGAAAAATGGCTTCCACCCCATCCTGGCCTTTAAGGCAGATAAGAAAGGATGCCCCCCAAAAACATTGCTTAACACAGTGAGTGGCAGCAGTGGGGACTTTCTGACCCCAAAAGGTGGTGCAGAGGGACCTCTGGGTTTCCGTAAATGCAAGAATAGATGGGGGCAGTGGCGTTAGGGGTGCTGGGTGCACACTTGTGAACTTTAGAGTTTCAGGTCACAGAAGGCAGATCACAGAAGTAGAGGGAGGCCAATAGAGCGGGAGCCCAGCCTGGGGACAGTCCTGACTTTATGCAGGACAGCACGGGCCACCACTGGAAGGCAACCAAAGAGGAGCCGGGGCGGGGGGGGGGGCTGTTGCTGCTCCCAGCTCCCAGCTCCAGGCTTTTCTGAGCTAAATGGCTTCCTATGGCTGCATGGCTGGGCAGATCCCTGGGGGTCTGTTTGGTTCCACATGGAGAGAGTCAGAAAGGAAATCTCACCCGCAGCCACTTGGGAGATGACAGAGATGCAGCCCCCACCTCCACCTGGGGCCTTGAGCCTCCTCCTGGAGCCTGGCCCTCGGGCCTGTTTGCAGGGGAGCCACGGTCCTTCCTGTCCCGAGACCAGCTGTCTGTCACAGCACAAGGCTTCAGAGCTGTGTCCTGGAGAGGTTCCTATTCTGTAGCAGACACTGGCCATGCAAAAAAGTGGGTGATACACACAGGGAAGACTTTAGGGTGGGTAGACCTTGGGACCTGGGAGCCTCTCAGCATTACTGGGTGCAAGGAGGTAGGAGGAGGGAGAGAACAAAAAGTAACGGAAAAGATTGACTAAAAATCACACCTGCCTTGGCTCTCAGGGAAGGAGGCCTTGGCACAGGCCCCGTGAGTCACATAAACTTAACACCGCACACAGACACTGGTTTTGTTGCAGTTAGCAATTCTCTTTTTTTTCTTTTCCAGTACTAGGGGATTGAATAATGCAGGGCCTTCCCCCCAGCTTTCTTATTATTTTCTAAAATTTTGAGACAGCGTCTTACTAAGTTGTTAAGTTTCCTGGGGTGGACCTGAACTTGAGATCCTCCTGCCTGGGGCTCTCAGAGTGCTGGGAATTACAGGCATGCACCTCCCTGGCCTGCTCAATTACCAATTCCTCAGCAACACTAATGAGCTCTTTGGTGCTAACCCAGCAGACACTGCTCAACCAGGAAGCAAAGGATAGAATGAAGGAAGGCATGCAGAGGCTGGAGAAAGGAGGTCTCACCTTTGAGGGCACAGACACATCTAGGTGGCCATGAGTTTATCATTCCACCAGCAATTGCAAAGTGGGCACAGCTGAGAGTCAAGGGGTGTCCCCAGCTCCCACCACACACACCAGGAGCCTTGCATCCTTGGTGCTACCTGCAGTGAGAGGTACTTTCAACCCCACTCAAAGCTGAGGACCCACACGGCTTTTGAGAGTGGCCTGCCCAGGGCCTGCAGCTGGAGGACAGGGGGTACCGAAGACCTGAACGTGCATGTTCCTCTGGTTTGGCCTTGAGGGCTTTCTCTGGACAGTGTCCAAAAGCCAAGTGGCCACTTCCAAGGACAGCCCAGAGGGAGGAGAGGTGGGCTGGTTGTGGTCAGGGGAGACACAGTGTTGCTGGATTTCAAGAGACAGGAGAGACCAGTGGGAACCAAGAGGATTTTATTTCGGGTTTTAGGTCAACTCCAGCTCAACAGGCTCTTGTCCAAAGGAAGAGTGTTGGACAAAGAAAAGTTCCAGCTTTCATCCATTTGCTCAAAGCAGGATTGTCTTTCTAATGATGTAGCAAGTGAGCTTCCCAGAACAGGACAAAGGCAGACAGTCTTGTAACTTATCCTTGAAAGAAGACTGTCTTATGAATCATGTGAGAACAGGGTGTCATAAATGACAGGTCTCCCACCACCTCAGCAGCTATTATGTAGGAGCTGCCCTCTTCCTCTTGTGCCTTGCCCCCTCCCCTGTGTGACGTCACACCAAGATGGTTGCTCCCACCAAAGAACAAACCCTTCTTCCCAGCATGCCCCTGTTCCCGCCTAGAGAGTAACCTAATACTCGCTCCCCTCCTACCACCTAGTGACGTCACCGGCTCCTCCATTCCCTAGTCACTACCTCACTCAACCCTGCCTCAGCCCCTACAAACCCCACCCCAGGCTCTATAAAAGGCTCTCCCTGCCCCGGCCATATTGCTTTTGTCTCTCCTTTGTTCAGAGACAGCCCGGCAGATCTAGCCCCCTAATAAAGGCTTGTTGTGGCCTGGTCTGGTCTTGGTCTTCGGCCCTTTTACCTGACAATAAACTTTGTTTATAGGACATGGTTGTCAATTTTATCACCTTGTACCAGAACAAGGAGTTACAGCTACAAGGGCGAGGGGGCGACCCAAAGTGGGGGAGGGGATTGCCCAAGGCCGGGAAGTTGTCTTTCTTTAAGTCCTGCTTCAGCATGAGGCAGCTCACCAAAGCTGAGAGAGGAAGGGACCCTGGAGGGCCCCCAGGAAGTCTAGAGATAGCAGAAGCTCCACCAGTGGAAGGGGGCAGGGAGAGGAGAGAGGGACCTGTGGACCAGAACTCTCTATGGGTTCAGGATGTTCTCCAGGGGGGATTCCCATAGGAGCTCTGATTGGTGGGTTTAGGGCACCAATCAGGCATGAGCTGGGTGGACTAACACTGTGGACATAGGAGGTGGGCGTGGCAGAGCTGGCTGGAAAAATAAGGCAGGACCTGCCAATTACAAGATCCCAGGACAGTGTCAAATAATTCCCAGGATGCTGTATGTAAAACTTCTCACAGGTTCTCATCAGATGTAGACAACATAAAGAGACAAGATGACATGAGGATCCCGCTATTGTGATTCTTCATGGTAGCCTTCCCTGTGTCTCCTGAACTTTTATTTTTACTTTTATCCTTTCTTTTGTTTTTCCCTTACCCCTTCACCCCTCACCGCTGAAATAAACCTTTGACACTGTTTTTGGCTGGTCTCATCCCATTCTTTGTTCAAGACGAAAAGGACCTGGAATACTTTTGTTTGGCGAGCCATTTTTAAAGGAACTACCCGACAGCACTGTGACTGTTCGTCTGTGTGTCCTGCAAGGTATGGGGTCTGTGGGGTGCATCAAGCAGGTTTGTCTAGCTGTCCCTCACAGACGTGGCCATCAGGAGACACAGACTGACCACCTTGAGGAGCTGGAAGGAGGTGGGGACTAGAAATCGGGTCACATGGGTGACTGAGCTCCACTCTGGCCACAAAAGAATTCAACTACAGTCAAAGCAGATGCCAAGGCAACACAGTTCTAAGAATTCACTACACCTGGCAACTCGGCGCTGTGTCTGGGCTCCTACCCACTGTGCCACCTGCCTCAGAAGCACCCAGGGTCCCTCTTGTCAATCAGAGCTGGCATGGGTGGGGGGAACAGGGCTGCTTCCCTCAGAGCTCCCACACCCTGGGATCCTCAGAGACCATTTCCCAACCAGGGAAGCCCCAGTTTGAGCCACTGAGAGAGGACACCCACAGAGATAGCCTGAAGAGGTCCCCAAAGCAGAGACAGGAAGCATAACGAGGTTTATTCGGCAGAATTTAAAAGTATAACTCAGAATAGTGGGAATAGAATAGAGGGCGAGCCCTCCAGAGAGAGGCAGTGTGGTCTGGAGTTGAGGGTTTTCCCATGGTCTTGGGTCATCTAGGATGTGTGTTCCTGTCAGGGTGCCCATCTGGTGGGGTGGGCCAGAACACAAACCATTTCCCGGTGCTGGAACCTGAGATACACTGTTCACCAAGGTCGGTGGGAGGAAGAGCAGCTTCACAGGGGAAAGGCAGGGCTCCAGAGACCAATTTGCAGCCTCACTGTGTCTTTAAGACCCTTAGGAATTCCTCAGGTTTCTTGGAAGGGAAAAGGAACTGCGTTAACTTTTGTGTCCAGAAGCTGCAGTTTTTCTTAAAAGTACTATTTTTAAATTAAGATTCTCCCTGTCTCCTTTGTACCTATCTTTATATTTCTATCCTACCTTAACATGGCCGGTGCAGTCAGGCTCCTCCGGCCAGGAGAGGAAGCTGGACTTTTCAGAGCACCCCTGCTGGCCTTTCCATCACAATCTGAGGCCAAAGGCGGGAGACAAAAATGCCTGTTTTCTCTCAACTGAAGAGGGGGACACACAGATTCTAAGAACCAGGAGATGAGTCTGGGTCCCGTCTCAGGGCGCCTCTGTCCCCCTGTAGAAAAGAAGGGCAGGGAGTCAGCACTGTCACTCATGTCGAGAGGGATGCAAAGATGGGGATGTGGAAGGCCTCGTAGGGAAAATGGGCAGCTGCAGGTAAGCCCACCTGGGAAGCTGGGGGCACCCATGTGATTGAGTAGGGGCCACATCCGCTTTCTCCTGGCTGGGAGTTGGAAAGAGGCAAAATCAGGCAATTGGCAAGCACCCACCCCTAGCCCACTGTCCTCTGGGGCAGAGAGGGGCATCAGTTCCACTGCCATCTGTTCAGTCTCATCCTGTGTGTCTCTTTGTTTGTTTCTTTGTTTGCTGAAAATAAAGTCCTGTTAAAATGAAAATGTCTTAGTCAGACATGGTGGTGCATGCTTGTTATTCCAGCCCTTTGGGAGGCTGAGGCAGGGGGATCATGTGTTCAAATCCCACATGGACAATTTAGTGAGATCCTGTCTCAATATTAAAAAGGGGAGGGTGGAGATGATGCTCAAGGTACAGCATCCTTTAGACCCATCCCCAAAACCAAAAAGAAAAAAAGTGTAAAATAATAAGGCTGCCCATCCCCAGCCTACAGTAGCAGGGTCATCAGTAGTCCTCATCCCTGATGACCATATTTAAAACTGTGATATCCTCACCCGAGGAGCGAAAAAGCCAACTCACCAACCTTAATCTCCTTCTCTGCTTCAATTTGCATGGAATGTGTCACTTTCTACCATGTTGCTTAATTTATTTATTATGCATATTTACTGTCTTCCCCTGTTATGGCTTTGTCCAGACATGCCTTCAAAGCCTCCTACATGTGGCTCTTTCAGAGGTGGCTGACTTAGAGTGTGTGATTGACTCATGGTGCAATGCTAAGATTAAGGTGGGTGATTACTAATTCAGTGCACTGATTGGTTTGGCCTCACCTTAATCCTAGTAGCCTAGTTAGAAAAGGTGCAGAAAAAACTGCTAAGGTCTTTTGCTTGCTTTGCTACCTTCTGCCCACCATGAATTGTTTCTCCTCCGTGATGTCCCTCTGCCATGCTACCCTCCTTGGAGTCAGCCAACTATAAACTGAAACCTCTACAGACTCTAAGCCAAATAAACTTTTCCTCCTTTGAGTGTCTGGTAGTTTGTCTCAGCAAGGAGAAAAGTAAGTAAGACACTCCCATTAAAAGTAAAGTTGCAGGCCGGGGATTTAGCTCAGTGGTTCCACTTCCTGCCTCGTGAGCACAAGGTTCCAAGTTCGATCCCCAGTACCAAAAAAAAAAAAAGTTGCATAATTTGACACAGTGCCTGCCAGAGGGTGCTCAGATAGTATTCATCGATTAAAAAAAAAAATCTGTGGAGGCACACAGTGTGATGGAGCTAAAGTCTTTGTTGACAAATAACTGCAATTTGGTTTTGGTTTTGTCTCTTCCTGGAGCAGAACCTTACATATCCTGATGGACGCACTGAGCAAGGTGCTCCAACCGCTGTGTGGCAGAGCCAGGTTCAGATGCAAGGCCATGCTCGGAGCAATTCTGACCCCTTTGTTCCAGCTCTACCCATGAATTATGTTGTGCACATCTGCCCAGCACTGGGCAAGTGAATCTATCATCCTTGGCTCCCAGGGGACTTTCAGAGAGTCTCTACAAGAAACAAACATGAGAAACATAGCTTAGTTTTGTGGCAAACAAGAATCAGGTTAAAAGCTAACATAAATAGGAGAGGGGAGAGAGCCAGAGGAGGGGAGTGAGGCCAGCTGGAGGGCTTCCTTTGGAAGACGGGGTGGACTGTGTGCAGGTGGAGAAAGAAAGCACTAAGGGTTTGTGGTGGAAGAGCAACAACATGCACCAAAACCCAGAGCCGAGAGTGGGGGCAGTGTTTTGGGGGTACTGAGAGAGCCAGCCTTGGACAGAAGCTTTGGGTGTTATGGTGGGCAAGGGGTAAACAGGACTGGGGAGGAAAGGACAGGCCCCGATAGCAGTCAGGAATTTGCATACCAGGACTTTACAGTTTACCATGTCTGAGGTAGAGAAGTTGTGCAGATTTCAGGCAAGGACAGGAAACAGGAAGCTCACAGCCACAGTTCAGATGCAAGGCTCTGTTGCTCCTTCCGACAGGAGACAGAAACTGCGTCCTCAGCCCTTGAATGTCCCCAGCCTTGCGACCTGCTTGGAGCAACAGAATACAGAGGAAGTGACGCAGGAGCCCCTGAGCCCAGGTCTCTGCCATGGCTCTGGCTTTAGGGTGTCATCGTCTTCTCCCCAAGAGTGCCTGTCGCCCACGTCTCCGACTGATCAGCCACGCGTGAAGCCGAAATGTTAGGGAAAAGGAGATGATATTTGCACCTCATGATCACCTAGGAAAGCCATCTGACTGGCAAAGGAAACATAGATGGCTGTCCAAAACTCAACGGCCTTCTGCTACATTACCCTCTATAAAGCCTGTTATGAATGGGGAAACACAATCCCAATGACAATGCTATGAAAACAAATTTTTGTTTGTTTGTTTGTTTGCAGCACTGGGGATGGAACCCAGAGCCTTGTGTGTGTTAGGCAAGTGTTCTACCACTGAGCTACACAGCAGCCCATAAAAATTATTTAATGGAGGAAATAAATTACCATACAACATGCCCTAGGTCAGTGTACAACTACACAGAAGCGTGTGAGGTCTCTTATCGATAGCCCCAGAGACAGCTACACTGCTGTGCTGGATTTGGGCTGCACAAGGCACAGAGCAGTTTGCGTGCTTATGGTGGTCGTAGTGGTGATCGAAGCCCACACCTCAGACCGACCTGGGCTCTGGTTGGAAGTCTCTCTATCCAGCACCGTCTCCCTCTGTGTTAGAGAAGGCGTGGGTGTGGGATGTCTGGTCCTCGTGGCAGTCAGGACTCCATTTGGCTCACGGACCTGGGGCCTCTGCACTGAGCTACATCTTCAACTTGTGCCCCCCCGCACCTCAGCCTCCCAAAGTGCTAGAACTACACGAATGCACCACCACACCCAGATCCTGATTTCTTTCTCTGATAGCACTTTTGAAGGAGCAATGACAAGATTCCAGGGAGGTCTTTAATCAAGGGATAAATAAAACAACCTGGTCTGGAGGATTTGTCACCAGGTGAGCCACCACGTGGAGGAGTCTTGTGACCACGAGCACCCATGGGTGGCCGGGCAGCAACTTCTGTGTGACAGGACTGGGAGCCGATGTTCTCAGCCTCATTTCGTGTATGTTACTAGATGTCTGGCTGCTGGACAGAGGAGGGGGCTGTGTGCTGCCCAAGGACAAAGGGAATGAGAAGCCCATGCGTGGACTCCTCTGTGCCTTTCCCCTGCTGGTCCTCACAGGAGCAGGCTGTGCCAGGAGGGATGCTATACCTTGAGGCCCTCAAGTCCTTCCAGGGGGTCACCTGCCACACGGCTGGTCTTGAGAACACCAACCATCCACCATAGGAAGAAACTGCACAGGTATCTGGAGGTCCCCAAGACCCAGAGGAGACACATGTGGGCAGGGCCTGGGCCAGGGCAGAGGCTGAGTCAGGAGAGTCTCTGACCTGTCCACGCTGCCCTAGGCCTGCAGTGGAGGGGCCTGAAGAAGTACACTACATGAATTGCTCCTCCGAGCTTTCCAGCGCATTGCCCTCCAGGGACTGAGGGAGGGAGGGAAAGTGCCCCGGTGACACAGACAGCTCAGGGCTGTGGTGATGCTAGGGCAGCTTCATGATGGAGCTTGGGGGACTCCCCAGGAAGGACCCCAGGACACTCCTGTAGCATGCCAGGGAGATGACTGAAGCAGCCGTCTGGCTCGGGTCTGGAGTTGAGAGTAGGATGGACAAACAGCCACAGAACTGGGTCCCCAGGGCCCCTGAAGGGTTCAGGGTTCAGAGTGGAGAGGGCAGGTGCCATGAGCAGCGGGCGGAGGGATTCCTATGACACGAAGGCCCCGCGTCCATTGGGATGGGCAGAGACCAGGGTGGCCTCACCCATGTACCCGGAAGAGACAGAGCAGTGCGAGCGGAAGTCAACGTCCACCAGCACATAGGAGAATGGGGGGTGCCGCCTTGTGGACCCAGAGCGTGTTGATTAACGGAGGGTGTGGGTGTCCTCGAGGAGGAGCCCTGCAAGTATAGAGGATAGAGTCCCTGGATTCTGCCAACGGGACCCACAGGCGTTGATCAGAGAGCACATACGGGGAAAGAGGGCACCAGGGTAGAACCTCTGTGGGCTGCTATCACCGCATGTCTTGGTATGGGTGACTTGGAAAGAACAGAAATTTACTGCCTTCAACTCTGGAGGCTGGACGTGCGAGCTGGAGATGCTGGCTGCCTGCCGCTGCCCAGGGCACTGCTGTCTCTGCAGCCTCGTGTGGTGGAAGGGCACAAGGGACAGCACCGTGTTCTGAACTGACAGTGATGTCAAGGACCGGAAACGCCGTCCATTCTCTGGGCCACCTTGAGGACCTCAGCGGGCCGGGAATGGGCTGAGCTGAGTGGGTCTGGACCACATTAGGGGCTCCTTTGCCTCTCTTTCGTGTCTGGGTCCCTGTCTGCTCTGAAGAGCTGGTGAGGGACAAGCCACTCAGCCCTGTGCAGCTGGCATCAGGCAGTCAAGGCATCCACATCTCAAGAGCGCTGGAAAGACCAGAGCACCGGCAAAGAACATCCCCACAGAGCGGAGCCAGGACGGCATGCCAGCTGGAGCAGCACCAGAAACAGCAAGCCAACACAGCTGCTGCCACACAGCCCTCGGGCCTGTCGCTAAGCTCTGGTTTGGGTTATTTATATTTTCTTCTACCGCCCATTATAAAGCACAATTGAGGAAGACCTGGAGCACAGGACGCTGCTGTCTTTCAGTTCTAAGGAGCAGCTCCAGGCACCAAATATTGCAGTGGCCAAGGCAATGACTTGTCAGCACAGCACACTGCCCTCCCCAGCTGCATCACGGATGTCCCAGGAGCAGCACAGATCCCAGAGGGCAGTGTCAACTGTGGAAGTCCCGGGCAGGTCTGGTACTCCTGGTGAGATGGCACCACTGCTGCCAGGCTTCGGCTGGACCAGGGCTGAGTGGAGGGTGGCAACAGCTGCCTTTGAGTCTGGGCAGAAGGCTGCAGAGACCAAACACCTGCTCTCGTGGCTTTGCGAGGCCCAGAAGAGACTTACAGTGAGGAGCGCGCTGGGCCACCTGCTCCTTGCCAGTGCCTGTCTGTCTCCTGGCACCGGGCTGTGCCTTCAACGGTCACCGTGGGGCCCCTGGGGCTGGCAGGGCTCAGCCTGCTGGTCCCTGTCCAGTCCCTCCTCCACAGTCTGTCACCTGCTCGGGGGCTGCAGGTGACACACGACAGGTGCCTTATTAACGATGGGACACCCAGCTACTAGGGAGCCACCTGCCCTCCACAATGCCCGTGAGACTCACCCACGCTCCTCACCATGCCGACGTTGGGCCCCACACACACATTCTCAGCTGCAGTGGGGGCTCAGGAATTGGGGTTTTAAAAGCCCCTCTGGTGAGTCCCATGTCCAGCCAGGCTGGGAACCCCTGCCTTAAGACGTCTCCCCACCCAACCAGCCGGAGCCCACTGCCCTTGACTTCTGCCTCCATGGCACAGAACAACTGAGGGACGGAGTGACCCTTGAGCAGGTCCCGAGACTATAGGCCAAACCCATGGAGCAGGACAGAAGGGGGCCAGCCATCCCGTGTCCCTGTCTGCCTGCATGGAGGACAGACAAGGGCACGGAGAGAAGGTGCAGATGGACGAAGAGGGTGCCATGCTCCTGCCGGGCAGGGCGTCTGGGCCAAGCCAGCCTTCCTGAGGTCTGGAGTTTCTGAGAGAGAATGAGGTTTGGCCTGTCCCCGTTAGTTTCCATTTCACATATTGGGAGCCAAGCCCGGGCAAGTAGACCAGAAGGAATTCCTCAGTGTGGGCCAGAAAAGGGAAGGGAAGAAGCCAGAAGAGTAAAGCAAACTCTCTCCCCCTCTGCTTTGAGCGCTCAAGTCTCATGGCCATGGTGCTGCCTCTGTTTAACGCAGGGAAGCAGCTGCAGCCCACTCTGCCCACCTCGGCTCCTCTCTGCACCCCATTTCCATCTTTCTGCCCTTTCTGCCATGAGCAGACAGGAGCTCTGCACTTGCCTGGCTTCCAGAACAGCCTGGTAACAGCATCCCAAAGCAAAGCAAATAAGACCTGCAAAACCAGGAGTGCTGTCATTTTATCTCATCACAAATCCCCAGCCTCACATCAGCTACCAGATCGCCCTTGCAAAGCCAGAAGAGGCCCGGCCTCAGGAAGCTGTGACAGACCTCGGGGAAGTCTGGTGGGGAGTGGAGCCCAGTAGGTTGGGCAGGCTCGGGGGGGCCTGGCTGAGCCAGTGGCCAAGACAGAGGGGCCCCCACCTACCGAATGGGTAGACAGCAATTCCTCAGGTTTCTTTGCCTCTGCCCAAAACGTGGTGGAGCCTGGCGGGGTTGGGGCACAAAGACCCTCTCATGTGCCACAGCCAAATGCCACCACAGATGTATCTGTCATCGGAGAAGTGGCAGCCAATCAGATGCAAAGCCTCCAGCCCCACCCTGCATCCCATCACAGATAGGGACGCCCCTGGGTGGCACCCCACCACCTGTACCTCAGCAGCCCAAAGGTGTGGGCACCTGGGACAGGAAGGGGCAGACAATGGATTCTCCTTCCGCAGGCAGCCCCCTGGGCTTGGAGGGGGCTCAGATGGCTGAGCCCAGAGGTCCAATGCCGGAACAGGCTCTGATGTTTACCTGAGAGAGATAGAAGCCAGAAACAGACCGCACTAGAGGGAAATGCCTGCCAGAACTGTTTACCAATCAAGTTAAATTTAGTGTCCGTGTTGCCAAGTAGGAAAGAGACGCTGTCAAAGGAATGTCTGAGCGATTATAAAAATAGCATGTGAACATTTGTGCAGAGCTGATTGATCAGGGTCGAGTCACACCCCCCTCAAGGGGGAGATGAGCAACACAGGAGCAAAGTTCCGGCTCTAGAGAGATGACAGCGATGCTTCCCAGAACAAAGAGCAGGGTTAAGGAAGAGGCAAAAAATGCAAATGGACCCTCAGACCCTGAGGAAAACGCATCCCAGATCTGAAAATAAAACACAAAAGCGGCCATTTGAAAAGATCAACAAGACAAGTGGAAGTCTGCAAGATGAGTCAAGAGAGAAGAGAAAGTGTAAATACACATTAGGAATGAGAATCTAGATATAATCACAGATAGGAGACCAAAGTTTTGAGATCTGTAAATCCCATAGTTGGGAATTTTATGCCAATAGTTGGGAATTCCAGAACAGGGGTTGCCGAGTGGGACTCCCTGCCGCCTGCTCCAGAGCCCCCGAGGTTTTCTGAAGTACAGATTTTCTCCTGCTCCTGGGCCCCCAGGAACTATTGTGCACCCCAAATTTGGGAACTATGACACTGCAGGAAACAGAGACTTTATAATCAAACAGACTACAGACCTGGCCAAGGAAGCGGCAGAAAATGTGGACAAATTACCCCAGGCAGAAGAGAAAAGTGAAAAAGGGTCCTCCCTTCCTCTTCTGAGTTTCCTCGTGTCCCTGCACCCCACATGCATAAGCTGAAGTCCTAACACCCACGTAGATGTGGCCAGATTTGGAAACAGGATCATTTCTCGTGTACTTCCTTTAGATGAGGTCACATTGGAGTTCACCGGGCCCTGATCCAACATGACTGGTGCCTTTGCAGAAAGGGGACAGGGAGAACACCATGTGAATGTGAGGGCAGAGATCTGGTGACTTCCGCCAGCCAACGATGGACAGCAAGCCCTACAGGCAGGTGAGGGGCCTGGGAAGGAGGTGGCCCTGCCCACACCTGGCTTTCCCACTTCTGACCCCCAGAACTGTGACACAATAAGATCTCGTTGCTTAAGCCAAAGAAAGAAAAAGAGAAGACAGAAAATACCTCTTCCCTCCCCAGAGCATGCCAGGCCAAGGTCACTACACGCTCTGATGCTGCTGGGGATCCCTGAGTGGAGGACAGACACAAAGAAGATGGTCTGCAGCAGCCAGGCCTGACCAAGAGGTGACAGGAAGAGAGAGGCCCATGTCTCAGAGGAAACTGGAGGATCAGGATCTCAACCCAACTACTGGCAGTGGACAGGAGAGGCTTGTTTTACAGATGATGCCATGAGCCCGGCACGGTGGTGCACACCTGTGATCCCAGCACTCTGGGAGGTTGAGACAGGAGGATCATAAGCTTGAGTCCAGCCTGGGCAATGTTGCAGTGACTTAGCGAGACCTGGTCTCAAATGGAAAATTAAAAGGGTTGGGATGTAGCTCTGTGTGAGGCCCTAGGTTCCATCAAAAGGTCTGGCCCAGGGCCAGGGATTTAGCACAGTGGTTCCGTCACCTACCTCGAAAGCACAAGGTCCCGAGTTTGATCCCCAGTACAAAAACAAAAACAAAAACAAAAGGTCTGGCCCAGTATGCTTGATCCAGGAGTTTCCCATGAAGCTCTTTACTAATGCAATGTGTGATCCAGATAAAGCAAAAGTAAGAAGCCATGTGACCATCTCAATACATCCTCAAAGGCTTTTGTTAGAATTTGAACATTCTCAATAAGAAATCAATCTCTTAGCAAACCAGAAGGACAATGAGATTTGCTGACATTACGTCATGTGTGTGAGAGACCAGGGCCAGAGAAACTGTCATGGTCAGGGTCAAACTCGAGAGGCCTTCCCCAGAAGGCTCTGTGGCCAGATGGGGACCCCAGGGTGGAGGACAGGAAGGGACAGAGCGTTCCGGCTGCCAATGACATGCCAGCTAGGAAGTCTCAGTGATGCGTGCAGCTGTCCCTCGGTGTCCATGGGTGACGGGTTCCAGGATCCCCAATACCAAAATCCACGATGTGTAGAAATGATGCACTGTTTGGATATAACTTGTGTGCCTTCTCCTGTAGACCTGGAGTCCTCTCTAGATACCTGTCTTATCTAATACGATGTAAATGCTATATATAAAATTTTTAAAAATACCTTTCATCTGTGTTTGGTTGACCCAGGCCTGTGGATCCCAGGAAATGAATAAGAGCTGACTTTCCTGTCTCCGGAAGCCCGGGAGAGATGGAGGGTAGAGGGCAGCCCCGTGCGCCGTCCTGCAGTCTATGCGGGAAACAGGTAGCAACACTGCAGGCAGAATATGATGGCAACATGAAGTAAGCAGCACCCCAGGGGCTGCTGGAGCTCAGGGAGAGGCAGGTGACGTGGATGGGTTCAAGGCACCAAGACTGGAGTCGCCAGTGGCTCCCTCGGAAGTAGAAGCAGGGGAGAGGGACGTGCTCTTCTGACAAACAGGCCACGGCCAAGGGGAAGTGACAGGTGCTGGAGGCGAGGATGAGCAGCGCCTCAGGACGGGGAAAAACTGGCTCCCCTAGGAGTCCGGGGCTGGGCATGCGCACAGGTACCAGAAACAGCAGGGTCGGCTCAGGCCACCGTAGCCTCTGCACGGCGTGGGCCGGCTCCCGCTTGTGGGGACGCCGCAGGGTCGCCTTCTCTTTTCTCCTTTGCACCTCCTTAGATCCTTTGCTAACAACCAATCAATCTGTAAACCACCCTCACCACCACCACAGACCAAAAACCCTGCCCGTTTACAAGGTGGATGAACCTGGAAAACATTATGCCAAATGAAATGAGGCAGATACAGGAGACTGAATAGTGTGTGATTCCATTTCTATGGGGTGTTTGTGTGTTTGTTTGAGACAGGGTCTTGCTATGTAGCCCAGCCTGGCCTTGAACTCTCAGTGATCTTCCTGCCTCAGCTTCCTGAGCGCTGGGACTACAGGCGTAACCCCCACACCTAGCTTTTATGAGATTCCCTGAGTGCCCAAATTCTTGGAGATCAGCAGAGGCTGAAGAAAGGAAAAGGAGAGTTCGTGTTTAATGAGGCCGGGGTTTCAGTGTGGGAAAGTGAGGGATGGATGGGGTGATGTCATCCAACACCATCAATGCATCAGCGGTGCACTTAAAATGGTTTAAGATGATAAATTTTATATTATATTTATATTAACATAATTTTTTAAAACCTGGCTGCTTTGACATTAGGTTTTGGGTTTTTTTGCCCCAGTAAACCTTCCACTCACTGGAAAAGCTGAACAGGTCACAAAGCACAGGGCTAAGACACGCAGCAGATGGAGAGGGGAGGAAGTTTGTACCAGGAACGCTCTGGGGTCATGATCTTCCGGGAAGTGAGGATATGTCCCCCACCAAAGGTCCCAGCAGGGTCACCCAACAGCATTTAGAAGGGACAGACTCAGAGGCCATGGCCACATTCATCAGCACAGCCCTGCCATAGCCTGTAACAGTCCACAGTGAACCCAGGAAAAGAAGGTCGTTAGGAGTGGGAAAAAAAACAAAACTGGGTGTGGCGGCCTCCTCCGTAATCTCAGCACTCTGGGAGGCTGAGGCAGGAGGACAGAAAGCAAGCACAGCCTCAGCAACTTACAGACTTAGTGAGACTCTGTTTCAAAAAAATTTTTTTTTTGGTACCGGGGATAGAACTCGGGATCTTGGGCTTGTGAGGCAGGTGGCGGAACCACTGAGCTGCATCGCCAGCCCCCCAAAAATTTTTTTTAAAGGGCTGGGGATGTAGCTCAGTGCAAAGGCCTCAGGGGCTCAGATTCTTCATCCATCAAATCAGCAGGGAGAACTGAGCTGTATTAAAAATATTTCATTCAGTTCTAAAATTCTTTGGGTTTCATAAACATACACGAGGTTTCCCCAAGCAATTCTTGTAACACAGGAAGAGTTATTCTAGCAGGCCTGGTTTTAAACCCTCCCTCCCAGGCAGGCGACCTTTCCTGCCCTCAGCTTCCCTCTGTAAAATGGATTTAAACATCCACTGTTCAACTCTCATATAGTAAGTTTTGTTTCCCACCTGGTATGGGGTGGGGCAGGCTCACCTCCCAGAGCTGGCGATGGCCGACCCCTTCAGAGCAGGCCCCAGGCGGGCTAGGAGAGAGCCACTGACATGTTGACCCGGTCAGGTCTTTCCGGTGGGGAAGTCCCAGCACGTGCCCTGCCCATGTGGGGCAAGCACATTCACCAGCACAAGAACGGGCACTGCTGGGAGCCTGCAGTCCTGGCACTGTGTGGCTTTTACATCCCCCACGTGCACAGGAAGAGGGAAATGGAGAGGCCATACCGTGCTAAGTGGCTGAGCAGGACAGGATCTCACTGTCCCTCATAGACCAGGCTTTCCAGCCCACTCTGGTATCGGGGACCCTTGCTGCTCCAGCACAGCTCCCCCACCGGCCATCTCAGATTCACCAAGGACAAACCTGTGGGCAGTCTGCACCCAGGAGCAACAATATGCTCCCAGGTCCGCGCTCCTCTTCCCAGGCACAGCTGTCTGGTAGTCCTCACTCCCAGGCAGCTTCATTTCTATGGGCTTGTCCCAGTTTGGGGCTCCTGCGTGTGACATGTCCAGAGACCTTAGCCACCATTAGTTTGGATGCCATCACTCACAGCCAGCCTGAACCCTAAACCCTTTCCCTCACCCCAAACTGACTGTAACTAAAGGAGCTTCTGTTCTGAAGCCACTTTGACTGCCAGAGCTTGTGAGCTGCCATCCCTGAAGGTTTCTGTGTTGGTCAGCTTCTTTCCAGTACTGTGACAAAATACCCAAGAGGAATCAACTTAAAGGAGGAAAGGTTAGCCAGCCATGGCGGTGCACACCTGTAATCCCAGCACTCTGGGAGGCTGAGGCAGGAGGATCGTGAGTTCCAGCCTAGCCTGGGCAACTTATCGACTTAGTGAGACCCTGTCTCTACATTAAAAA